AGCCCGACCCGAGGTTGAGTACAAATCTCGGCACACATTATTCTATCTTACACAGAGGTCAAGTTCGAATATCGACCCAAATCGTTCCATCGGTCTAAATCGTTCTATCTCACCAAGGTCGAGTTCGAACCTTAATACGAATTATTTGCACCAGGCCAAGTTTGAGCCCCAAAAAACACAAGTGCAAAATACACAAGTTCAAAAACAACCGTCGAAAGCACGAGGACAAAATCTCAGAAAATGATATATACACGAAAATCTTAAGCAAAACAAAATAAACTAAGTTATTACAAAACTGGCCTAAGCAGAGGCATTTTCGCTTGAGCTGTTCTGGAGGTCGTCCTCCTTCACCAGCTTCCCGAAGCGCACCTCTTTCTCCACATGCATGGAAGAGAGGTCGACCCCCGGCGCGAGTAGCCTCGCCTGGCGAGCTGCCTTGAGGAATCCCTTCTTGTGCTCGAACAGGAGAGCCCCGCTCAATTTCGATGAGCTTCGTCTCCAGTTCCGCCCTTGTCGTAGCCATCTTCGCAAGGTCCACCTTCAGAGCGATGACCTCCTCTTCCTTCCCACCAAGAAGCACCTCGTCACACAGACGCTTCTCGCTCGCCGTCACCAAGTTAGCCTTCAAGGAAGTCACCTCGTCTTTTAAGGCACGCACCCGGCCTCGGGAAGAATTGGCGAGCTCCTGTAGCTCACTCACTTGGGCAGCGTGAGTCTCATTGGACCTCAGAGCAATCTCTAAGGACTTTTGAACTCTCTCCAGCTCCCTCCTGGTGGCTTGAAGCTCGGCCTCATTCTATAGCTTAGCATCCCCGAGAGCACTTGCCAAGGCCCGATTCTCCTCCTTCAAGGCCTTGTTCTCTTCCCTCAAAGGCTGGACTCGGCCCTTCAGCTTCGCTAGGTCCTCCTGCTGCTTGGACCACTTGTGCTTCCAGTGATCCACGATGGCCATGGTCCTCTGCAGGAAGACCTCAGCAGAATCAAGGCCTTCCACTGGCCCAGCCGTCTCGATCATGGCTTGATCAGCCGAACTCAGCGACTCCTTGGAGTAGAACTTCTCCGAGGTCACCCCCGCGCTCCACAAAGAATCTATGTCCTCTGAAGCACTCACATGATCCAGTTGCACCCGAGAACGATCCTTCCCGAAGCGATGGGCAAGGTATTGGCTTTTGGGGGGCCCCTTCGACGAGCCAGACGGCGGCGCCGAGGTTGCGGGAGTAGGTGTCGGGACCTCGGAGCTCGACCCCTTTCCGCGGGCCTCAGCAGAGACAGAGGCAGGCGCCTCTTGCTCAACCACGGGGGCACCCGCCCCTGGTACCTCCGAGCTCGGAGCCACCGGGACCTCGACAACATGCCTCACCTACAAAAAATACAAATTTCCCCCTAAGTCAGTAAGTAAGAAAAGAGCAATATAAAAAACAAAAACCGCAAAGAAAGGCACCAACCTCGGTGGCCTGGGCAACCTGCTCGGCGGCCTGGGCGATCTCCTCGACAGCCACCTGAGGAGCTCCCTCGGGTGGAGAACCCCTAGTCAGGTCGACCATATCAGCATCGGCAGCCTTGGAGGTCACCTCCTGAGCATCTCGAGGGGCAAAGGTCCCCCGATCTCTTTTTCTCCCCTCTTTCTTTTTCTTCGTGTCTCCAGGGGGCCACCTCCTCCTCTTGAGGCTCAGGGACCTCAATTTCGGCGACGTTGTGATGGAACTTGGAGAAGAAAATTGATTCTTCAAGTTTTCCATGCAAGGACTGAAGAACTCTTGAGGTAGAACTCCTTGAGGTGGTAGAATCACCTTGGAGGATTCTCCAATGGTGGAGAAGTAATGGAATAGGTTCGGTTACTTCCTAGCTTATGAAAGAAGCTTGAGGAACCAAGACAAAGTTTGAAGAAACTTTGATAGAAACCTTAAAGAGAGAGTTCTCTTCGATTTTAGGAGGGACTTTTGAAGAGAAATCTGAAGTTTTATTTCTCAAATGCTCAAAAGTGAATACAAAAGTAGAAATTACAAATATATAGGGAGAGGTAGCTTGTAGTGTAAGCTAACCTTAACCATGGTTCACTAGGAACCATGGTAAGGTGTAGCTAACCATCCATGGTTTCTAAAACTTGTAGGAGAAGCTAACCTTGACCATGGTTCACTTAAGAACCATGGTAAGGTCAGCCTAACCTACCAAGGTTTAGAGACTTGGAAGGCAAGCTTCAAAGCTTGTAGGAGAAGCTAGCAAATTTCGGCCAAGAACACAAGTGAAGGCTAGGCGGCCAAGGCTCCAAAATGCTCCATGATTTATTTTGAAATTATTTGATTTGGTTTAGTTAGGTTCATCATATGATGATGAGACCTAGCTAAATCAAATCTATGAAAAATTAGGAGCAAAATGAGTCTAATATGCAAAATTTTGCCTAGGCCCAATTCTGACCCAATTACTAGTCACACCCTCAAGCATTGCTAAATGCCACCCCTTTTTTCCTACTGAAAAAATATAAAATGAATGTATCAACAAAGGAGGTTAAATGGAGTTAAACTCTCCAAGTAACCCACCCTAAAAACAATATACAAACACTAATAAAAGCAAGTAAAGTGCCTCACAAATACAAAGGCAAAAATAAGCCTATACAAAGAAACTACTATATGTACAAACATATGAAAAAGGTCTTTAAGTTCATCCCATTCCTCTTGGTTCTTTTAAGATATCACCTCTTGGATTCCTTGGCCTTGGCCTGGGTCTATCACGTTGTAGCGCAATTTCAACTCGCGCCACTTGCTTCTGCCCATGATGCCTGCAAATACAAAAAATCAGAGACGTCAGTAGAAGAAAAAATTTGGCGAACCCTAGCAACTAAAAAGGACAAGATACTCACTCTCTAGACCCCTCTCCTTATACGCCGAGTTGGCAAGCGACAGGACAAGCTTGTAATCCAACGGACGAGGGAGTACTTCAAGGTTTGCAATGGCAGCAGTATCTGAGGTTGACAATTGCAAGTTCGCCGCCCAATGAAACCGAGCCGGGGCCGGCCGCTAGTAAAAGGGAAACTTCGGCAGGTCGTCGAAGTGGAATACCTCATCTTTTAACGGGTCGACACCCTGGAGCGTGACCCAGAAGAATTCTTGTTTGAAGTTCTTGTACGACTGGGAGTACAGAGAAAACAATCCCCCAGCCTTACTACCACTCAGGGACGCCCAACCATAAGGAGGGACGCCCAGTTTTAACTGGTAAAAATGAAGGAAAATAGGAAGAGATAACCCTATCCCTAGGGCCGAACACAGGACTTGAAAAGCCCTAAAAAAACCCCAGCTATTGGGGTGCAACTGGCAAGGAGCCGAGTTGACGAAATTCAAAAAATCACACTCAAATTGAGTGAAGGGAAGACAGACGCCTAAATCCCTAAAGAGACATTAGTAAACGTAAAAGTGGGGAGGGTCAGAAGAACTCCCCATGTACACACGCTCACCGGCTTGGCAAGGCTCAAGCCGGATAAGTTTGGAGATGGAAGGGTCACAGATCCTATGCGATTTCCGAATCGCATTGATCTCCATGAATGACCTAAGAACGCTTTGAAACTCCCCGACATCACTCTTGACCCACTCAAAGCCAGGGATGCCAGAAGAGGGTTCCTTTGGTTGGTTCCCCCCTTCTTCTTCTCGACAGCGGCCATCTCGGCGACCGCCACCTTGCCGCGTGCCTTGCCTTTACCTTTGGCCGGCGCGGAAGATGCGACACCACTTTCTCCAGCCATCAAGAAAGCAAAAAGACTCGAAGAGGGAAATATTGGAGAAGAAAGAGAGAACAGGGAAATCGAAGTACCTGGTACCCCTTTGACAAATGAAAGAGCAATAAGGAAGGAGGAGAACCCAGTTGCCGGAAACGGCGACGAAAACAGAGAAGATGAAGATGGGAAATGAACATAAGCGAGGAAAGCAGAGTGCGCAAGAAGCCACAGAAAAAGAGTAAAGTGAAAAGGGAAGAGGCGCGAGAGAGAGAAAAGGGCTTCCCGAAATTCAAACGGCCACGACACGTGTCGAAGAGAGAGAGCACCTGACGACACATTTAATGAAGCTCATTATGATGAGGCAAAACCATCATTGCATAACCGTCACCCCCATCAACACGCCGCCCATGCGTTTCGGAACACGAAGTGACAGTTATGACACATGGCATTGTGACAGACAGGCGTACGCGAAAGGTCACTGCCCCCTGTCGAGCTCGGTCTCAACTCCTCGACCCGCGGTCTTCGGAGCTCGGGGGGCTAGTGTACTATCCGTACCGCTATGCCGAGCTCGAGCTCGACATCATAACGCGAGTTAACCTCGGACACGTGCTAAGCTACGTCAGCTCGACATCCAAATAGGTCATAACTGATCTAAGGCCCAAGGCCCATCAAAACCCTAATCCACACAAAGGTACGTGCATTACTTATACGAGACTTATACACCCACAAACACTAACTTTAGCATCGGAGTCGCTTTTGCAGGTACCACCCCCATCTTGGAACATCAAACGTACCAGTGAAGGAGGCTCGCGATCTTACCCAGCAGATCGTCCCCTACGACCGATCTCCGGTAAGAACAATCTCTATTCATAAATTCTAAACCCTTTATGTTGTACAAGTGATAGAAGATACAAACACAAAAATAATGTAGTAGAAGTTATATAATTTTTTTTTGTCAATGTAACATTAATCTTTATTTTTTTAAGTTAATTTACGTATGCTATTAGTGTATAATATTATTAGAGTATGTGTAACAGTATAATTATGTGAAGTTGCATAATGTTTTTAGTAGGTTCTTGTACAATGTTACATGAGATTTATGGATTATAATATATATTTTTTCCAATGATGCAATATTTAAGAACATAAAATGAGTTTTGTGTTTGCTTCACAATTTGTTAAGTAGTATTGTTGATATAAGTAACTGTTGCATAGATGGAACTGTCACATCAATGGCTCTAATAGTGAAACAAGGGCAGATGTAAACCGAGGTAACTCATGAATCATGATAGCTACTCTCTACATGTAATGACAAATCTCTTATGGTAGGAAATCAATATATCATTTATTGTTCTAATAATGTTCCACTCCACGACCATCACCGAAGGAGAGGAGAAAGACCTACCTTACTTCCACAATCTAAACACGACTCCTCCTTTTGGTTTGTATAGATAATCCTTTTCCAAAACAATTATCTTCAAAATTGGTTTTAATCCTATAGTCTTTCCATTTTTTTTTGGCACTTTGATTAAACTATCGCACCAATCCAATCGAGAAAAAAAAAATCCTTGTTATATTTAATTAAACAGTTTCCAATTTCCATAAACCCAAGGCTAAACCAATTTCAATGCTAGAATTGGCGATCATTTGGAATTGGAAGGGGAAAGAGAATCCCAATGCCAATGCCAATGCCAATGCCAATTTCAATGTCACTAACACTATCATCGATTCAACCAAAGCCTCACTCACTCTCTTTCCTCAACTTATCCCTAAACCGCCACAACCACATCCCGCCAAAACCCGCGTCCCTCCGAATCCACAGCGCCGCCAAAGCCCAAACCCTCCAATTCCTGAAACCCTACATCGCGGCCCAACACAGGCCCATCCTCTGCGGCTGGCTCTGCAGCGCCGTCTCCGTCTACTCCCTCTCCGCCCTCCTCAACAGATTCTCCACAATCGCCGCCCTCAGCGCCGTCGACGCCGCCCCCCTCGCCGTGCTCCTCGCCGCGCGCCTCGTCGCCAACTACGCGCAGCACGCGCTCCTCTGGGAAGCCTCGTTGAAGGCTGTGTACGAGCTCCGCGTGGACGTGTTCGACCGCGTTCTCCACAGAGAGGTGGCGTACTTCGAAGGGAACGGCGGCGTGTCCGCCGGAGACATTGCGTACCGAATCACCGCCGCAGCTTCCGACCTCGCCGTTACCTTGTACACTCTTCTCAACGTCCTAGCTCACTCCTAATTTAGTTTATTTTCATTCACCTTGTAACCAATTCATTTCACCAAAAGATGGATACCAATGAAATGGTGCATACTATCCCCGCCGAAGCTTCCGACCTCGCCGTTACCTTGTACACTCTTCTCAACGTCGGTGCCACTCTCTGACACACTTTCTATAATTAGAATATTTCATTTTAGTTTTTATATATATTATTTTTATTTTTTTAATGTTTATAATTTCATAAATTTTTACTTTTTAATTTACTATAAAATTGGCCACAATATCTAAAAGGAACAAAACTAATTATACTTTTAATTTTTACTTATACTGTAAACATCTTTTGCTTTTTATTTTTATTTTTTTATTTTCTAGTAATAATTACTAAATCATTGTACATGAAAATCAGTATTTTATGCTTATTGTCCACATTTTGACAAAGTGAACTTATTATAGAAATAATTTAACTTTAATTCCGCGAAATACTTCTTAGACTCCCATTCAAAGAATTTATTATATTGCCAGGGCCACGTTATCCAATTTATTTATCAATATGATATAGCAGTAAAATATTTTTTTTAAAAAATGTTTTATAATGAGTGTGTATATAAGCTTAACTCACATAAAAATAGGATAATGTTGGATTTAGTCTGAAAAATTGTTTTTTTTTTAATTTAAAGAAAATAAACAATATATGTATCAGTAATATAATTTTTTTTATACATCCAGTCACAGACTCTCAGTTTAAAATGTACCATAAACTTGTTGATTTTTATAATATATTTAAAAATAATTTAATTTATAATGTACGATAAGTTTGTTAATTTTTTTAATAAATGTTTTAAAATAGTACAGTGATAACTTTTTTTTATATCCGTCTCTTGCCGGAAATTTTCAGTCCGGAGAGGATCCAAACCCACTGACAATACAGTTTGTTAGGCTCTATATGTTACACTACATCAGATAGGATTTACACAATTTGCTATGAAAAAAACACGTTATAATATAAGATGTTTTTCAAAGCCAAAATTTTCTCATTCCAGCGGGATGGAATTTTGGTAAGTTTAAAGACAGTTAATTAAAAATGCTGTTTCATTGTGAGGTTTTGGAATTTTTGTTCATCTTGTAACATGGCCCAGTTGGTACTGTACTTTGCATGATCCTAGTTTTGATGAGTTCGTTTTATCTCATGGCTTTGCTTGTCATTTTGAGAACATTGCACGGCAATTGCATTTATGTAATTATTAATATCTGATGATTAGCTTTTGTTTTTTGTTTCTGACAGACCATAGTACCCAGTACTCTGCAGTTGTCGGCAATGATGATGCAGATGTTAGTTATAAGTCCTGCCCTTTCTTTGATTTCAGCCATGGTTAGTCACGGTCAGGTCCTTATGCTTATTTCATGCTGGTTTAGGGTAATTTGATTTTGAGTCTTGTGTCTGCAAATTGCAGATTATTCCTTGCATGCTGCTAGTTGTTACCTTTCTTGGTCAAGAACTTCGCAAGATATCCAAAGAGGCACATGTTAGCATTGCTGATCTCTCAGCTTATCTAAATGAGGTAACTTGAACTTTCACCAGAAATAATCTTAAAGGGCATGCATTGTTTTGAACACTATGCTCTTCTACCTTGTGTATCAATTTTGTTGTTTTTTCCTTCTTAATTAAGGTGCTTCCTGCAATTCTCTTTGTGAAAGCAAACAATGCAGAGTCGTGTGAGAATACCAGGTTTACGAGACTGGCTCTGATGGACTATTCTGCGAAGCTGAAGAAGAAAAAGATGAAAGCATTGATTCCTCAGATAATACAAGCAATTTATTTTGTAGTTCTTGCCATACTTGGTGCTGGTTCGCTGGTGATTTCAAGAGGTTCATTTGATCGCTATAGCTTGGTTTCATTTCTGACATCATTACTTTTCTTGATTCAGCCAATTCAGGTATTGTTATCATGTTCAGTTTCTGAGAAACTGTATTTGGTTATCATAAATCTGAAAATAAAGAATCACGCAGGACGTAGGAAAAGCTTACAATGAATGGAGGCAGGGAGAACCAGCTGCTGAACGTTTGCTTGCCATGACTAGGTTCAAAAATAAGGTAAATGTGATATGAACACTAATTTAATATTGTTCTGTTTTTAATTTTTGTGTTTTCTTTTAAATTTGAGCGAGCATTTTGTTTGAAAATGACAAAACTCTGATAACAAAAAAAAAAAAAAAATACAAAATGGTTGTTGGCTGCAGTTTCACTGTTCTGTTTTTAAAAATTCCGTTAAGGTAATATGTTGCACTTCAATAATAGATCATTTTTTTTCTCCCCAATTAACAGGTGGTTGAGAAACCAGATGCTGTTGATTTGGACCATGTTACAGGGGACCTGAAATTTTGTGATGTCTCCTTTGGGTATAATAATGACTTGCCTCTTGTTTTAAACGGATTGAATCTTCACATTAGAACTGGTGAGATAGTTGCTATTGTGGGTCCTTCTGGTGGAGGGAAAACAACACTTGTAAAACTGTTGCTTCGGCTTTATGATCCTATATCTGGTGAGTCATTTAAAATAAATCTCAGCATGGTGATAGTGATTTATCAAATGTCTTTAGTATTGTTTTTTTTAGTAATTATGTTATTAGTGCGAAGTATGTTTCGACTTCATCAATAACTAATTTCCACTGAAGAACTCACCACCTTTAGTCGAAATGTCTTTAATACACCAGAGTTTATTTTGCACTCATTTTTCATCTATCTTTTGACACCTGCAGGCTGTATACTTATTGATAACGATAACATCCACAACATTCGGTTGGCAAGTTTGAGAAGACATGTTAGTGTTGTTTCTCAAGATATAGTAAGTGATTCATGCCTTTGTATTGTAGCAGGATTCGGACTTCAGTTCATGATGCTTATAAGTATTTAAAATGTACTTGTTTTGCCAGCTCGAATGATTTGTTCTATTTTTTACAAGCATTTAGGGTTTTTTTTGCCACTTTCAAAACTGGTTTAATATAAATAAACTAGTCATATAAATTCAGGTTATTTTGTAACTAGTTTGACCCAAACTTTGGCAGAAACGTATTTAAAATTTAAACCAGATCTTGCCAAAAAACTTAGCTTGCTAATAGACCATTGGTTTACACTTTACAGCCATGTCTGACCCAATAACTACCCTAAGCCCTTTAGATCTAACAGAAGAGTCAAAGAGAATGAAAAAAGATTAGAGACAATAGGAAAAGTTGTAAACTGATAACCAACTTTAAAATGATTTTTAGAACTATTTTTTATCTCAAAATTGGTTCCTCTAAGATCAAGTTTAAAAAAATATAGGTAGTTAAGAACCACCATGTTAAAAAACTGGTCTATTGCATGTAAATCTCGTTTTTAGAAGTTACCAGAGCCTTTTATCTTGTCTTTTTTCCTTCCCCAACATCAATTGTTGATTTTTCGGGTATATGTTAATTCAGCTATTTTTTTCATTCTTGATTGCTAGCATGAATGGTTTATATTTACTGGTGTCTTTGTTATCTTTTGTACATGCAAATTCCTCATGGTTCAACTATAATACTGATGTATACTCTAGACACTTTTTTCAGGTACAGTAGCTGAAAACATTGGCTATAGGGATCTAACAACAAAAATTGACATGGAGAGGGTAAAGCATGCAGCTCAAACTGCTAATGCAGATGAGTTCATTAAAAAGCTTCCAGAAGGATACAAAACCAATATTGGACCAAGGGGCTCAACTTTAAGTGGAGGCCAGAGGCAAAGGTAAAATTTCAAATTCAAACTTCATTCTGTTCTCCTATAAGCTTTGAATGAACAGCTAATTCTGTTTTGTATTGGAGGGAGCATTTGGAAGGTATAGTTAATCTGAAGTCCAAATTTGATGCTTTGGATATTTATAAGACATTAAGACTTTATCACTGATTTATGGTTTCTTTTATTGAGCTGTTACTTCCTTTCTAAAAAATTTACAGGCTGGCTATTGCAAGGGCTTTGTATCAAGATTCTTCTATATTAATTCTGGATGAGGCAACTTCCTCCTTGGATAGTAAATCTGAGTTATTAGTGAGACAAGCTGTAGAGCGTTTGATGCAAAATCGTACAGTAAGCCAACTAGCTTTTTCTGCTATTGACCCAATGACATGTTACTTTTTCTTTCCTTTATAATTATTTGGCGTGCATGTATCTTATTTCTTCCATACGTTTAGGTCCGGGTTTAAATAACAGGACCTTTATGGGTCTGTTTGAGTAAACTTTCTTAAAAGTACTTCTAGTTCTAAGTAAGTAAAATTGAAAGAAAAAATAAAATAAGTTTCTCCATAAGCTAAAATAAGCTTATGCATAAGTTATTTTGTAGAAGTTCTCTCTTATTCATTTTTTTCAAAATCTTATATTTAGTTCATGCTAAGTTCCTTAAAAAAAAAAAAAAAGCATATAGAGAAACTTATTTTGAATTTTCATCTAGAAGTGCTTCTGTAGAAGCTTATTCAAGCAGATCTTATCTCTAGATTGAACTTTTGGCTTTGAGAGCCATTTTTTGTTTTGTTATTTGTGCTTCTCATTTTGTTACTTGTAGTTTTGAGTATGTTTGTCATTGGATATGCTTCCCTTAGATCTCAACTAATTTAGATAGTTTTCTTTGGATTTATTGGTTAATCTTTTGCATTGTGTTGGTAATTTACATACCTTTTTCGTCCCTCTGAAGTATTCAAACATTCTTCCTACGTCCATAGGTGCTTGTGATTTCCCATCGCTTGGAGACAGTTATGATGGCAAAACGAGTATTTGTTTTGGATAATGGGAAGCTAAAAGAGCTGCCTCGATCAACTATGTTGGACAGTCAAAAGGACTCATTGCTATCATCTGGGCTTGTTATTTGAATATTTCCAGCAATCACTATTCACTGGGGCGATATATGTATAGTTTCACATAAATGGATTCAATTATCATATTTATGGTAGTCTTGATATTATTCATTTGTGTATAGCGTGCATTCATTCTTTTGTAATATATTTCTTTATTTTCATTGGAGGGTCTTAGTATTTTAATTTATGCTCCCTTCTGCTTTCCATGTGCTTATGTTCTTATTTTCAATTTTTAATAGTATTTAGTCTGGGTAATGTAAAGACATATTTATAATAAACATATTATATTTAGAATTTGTACAAATAGATATTTTTAAACATATAAATTATATTTTAGATTTGTGATAAATAATTTATATTGTAAAAAAAGTTATTTTTATTTACTGATTATTTATTTTAAAAATATTAATATTTAATTTATAAATAATTAAGATCAATTAAAATTGAATTAGATAAAAAAAATTCTTACAAATCCTCCCATAATAGAAGTCTCTAAAAATATTATTTTATATATATTCGTGTTTAATATATAAGGGGTTGATTTTTAAATTTTCATGAGAGAAGTGAAGATATTATTTTATATCGAAGTTTATGCACTAATACTAACAAAAATAATAAATGTCAATCAAAGAGAGAGGAAAAACACATATTTTCATAATATTTAATAGGAACAGAAAAAAAATTTAATGTTATTTAGAAACTATAATATGCCTTACAAAATAGATCAAATTTTTTTTCTAAACTATGTCTTATAAAAAGGATCATAGAGAGTACTTGTTAAGGTAAAGTTAATTACCATCCAACATTTTAGTACCTTTATGTCATTGAAACATATGTTGATAATTGTATATAATTATTTTTTTTTGCTCTTAATTACTTATGGGGCAAAAAATAATTATATTTACACATGTAGTTAATCTCGGATAATAATAATTTTTATATTATTAACTACTTGTGAGGTAAAGTTGGTCATTATTAAATAATTTAATCAACTTATGATACCATTGACCACATCAATAATTATATATAATTACATTCATTTATTCTTAATCACTTACAAAATAAATTATTCATATTTATATATGATAAACTATGTGTACCAAGTGGATAATGAGCGAAAAAATCCAATGGTACGTTTATTGGGATTATTTTTGGTTTCAAAGTCATCCCTTTTTACTTTTGTGCAAATGCAAGGTGATATATATATATATATATATATATATATATATATATATATATATATTGATGCGAATATATCTTTTATTCAACATTAGAAAATGAGTTTGAAAACTTGGTAAAGTGATATGTTAATGTCACAAAATTTACTAATTTAATACTACATTACTCATATGCCTAACATATAATCATTGGTGACCATAACAATTGATAATTGAAAAGAAAAAAATTTTGAAATCTAGAGAAGAATAAGAAATAGAAAAAAAAATATAAAAACTTTTATAACTTGAATTCAAATGTCAATCGTCACTGTACATTGTAAAAAAAAAAACATTTGTGATATATTGGGGTGTTGAGGACTTATTTGAGAGCTCAAAACTAGAATAATGATAAAACCTAATTCATATAAAAAGAATGGAACCTAAAAGAAAATGTAACACGAATAATCTCTTTAAATCTTTTATATCGCATGAGGAAGGTGAAATCATTTCTCTCTTAATTTGTTGGTTATAGCAAAGGCAACTCCTGCCAACGCCACAACTATGCCTGAAATTATAATGGCTGGTTTTATTGTTTGCAATGTGTCCTTATTTTCTCTTACATTTTTCTTTTGTTTGGTCTCATCTTGTTCCTTTAACCAATGAAGCAAATATATACATAACACCAATCAATACATGATATATATATATATATATATATATATATATGTGTGTGTGTGTGTGTGTGTGTGTGTGTGTGTCTGTGTGTGTCTGTGTGTGTGTGTGTGTGTCTGTGTGTCTGTGTGTGTCTGTGTATGTCTGTGTCTGTGTGTGTCTGTGTGTGTCTGTGTCTGTGTGTGTCTGTGTCTGTGTGTCTCATAACTAAATAAAAAAATGAAAAGAAAAGAAAGGGTATTCCAATAGTATGTTCATCATACATGATTCCTTGTATATGAAAATGAATGTACCTTTATTTTCTTGGAGGCTGCCACCTTAGAAGATGTGGGATCAACTTGAACATGTGTATTTGTCCCAAGATTTAGTACTTCAACAACATCTACAGGTGGGAATGTAAGATTTGAATTCTGAGGTAGGCTTACCATTTTCTTTTAGCTAGCTTTCAAACAATGCTCGTTATAGAATAAATGTAGGGAGGAAAAAGAAGAGAACAAAATAACTCCTAACATTACCAAGGATTCATTGAACTAATGTCAAATAGTTGTTCATTACAAATTGACACATGTGAGTGTTGCAAATTTTGAGGTTGTAATAGCTTTTGGTCTCAACGATGTTGCCTTTTTGTTCTTAAACTTCTCGATATACTTTCTTAGACTTGGCTAAACTTTCAATAACAAGAAAATAAATATATTTTTCTCCCCTAAGAAAACAATGAAGAAAGAAAAGCAACATATTTAAGAAGGCAAAAGAAAAACTCACTATTATAATAATAATAATGATGATGATGATAATAATAATAATAATAATAAAAATAAAAGACTCACTTTGTTTCCACTTCTTTCTTGTAATAAAATAGAATAAATGATTATTTTTTTGGTAAATGGAAAAAAATAGACAAAATCACTAACATTGACCAAAATAGTGACTATAGCATCAACAACATAGGAAAGATTTAATCCTTTAGGAGAAATTATTAAAAAATTGAAAATGGTTGTTGTGTCTTATATAAGTCATTGTTTGAGCAAGACTTTGCAATATCTGTTTTGAATGAAATTAATTTTGTGTATGATTTTATATTTGATCGAGTTAAAGAAATTTATATAGTTTTTGCAATGAATTAAAATTTTTATATTGAAGTTTACAACCAAATTGATTTTAAAATAAAACACCCAAAATATTAATCATTTCACTTCAAAACTAATCATAATTTGATCCTATGCTATCATTTTTCTTTTGATGTGGTCATAGGTATAAATATGAGTATTATGTGACGTAACCCAAAATTAAACATCATGTATTTTGGTTGAGTTTAACATATATTTTGCATAACTATTTATAGTCCACTTAGCTTTAGACTTGTTTATCTCTTATGTGTCAATCCTTTTCTTAGGAACATATGGCCCAAGCTCTATAATATCCCATAGATCTACATTTTTTGATTCTAAAATCAACTTCTTTTTGGCCTTCTTGTAATAATAGTGTCTTCCATAAAATTCAAGGGGTATGTTTTTTTATGCCCCTTTTACTATGAACATAGTTGGAGCATGCATAGCCATCACTTTCCCAAGATCTTTCTCATACATTGTTAAGTGTGCTCAACTCAGGGAGTTTAGCTAAGATGTCAAGTGAAGTGAATAAAATAACAAAAATAAGGGTTGAATTATGTTAAAAAAAAAAAAATTACTCCATTTTCTTTAGTTTAAAAACTACTATCCAATTTTAAAACTTGAACCAATGATCGACTTGGTCAAGGTACTATTTCAATGGATCACTAGTTGAACTAGTAGGTCACTTGTTGAATTGCATAAATTAATATATAATTATATAATAATTTAAATTAAGGATATACCACTATATAAATTATTTAAGTGACATATGTAAAACTTAAACATAATGGTGCAACAATTATTATGATTTTAGACATTTAAATGCATATGGGACATCACAAGCAAAATTAGTTTTATTTTTTTTCTAAATTTTAGAAGCTCCTAATTAATGTTCAAAACATGGAGAAATGTGTAGACATTGGGTAGTCAACAATGTTTATAACACTTTGATAGCATAACTCATCCATTATAAGGTTCGCACTCATTTAGACCAGTTCAATTGACCAATCCAATTGTTAAAACATAGGTTTTAGTTTAAAATGGAAAATGTATTATAAGCTCAAAATGTATCATAAAAAGATTATATCAAAAACTTATCTTTTACCATATAACCTTACTAAGAGTAGTAAAGCAAAATAAAAAGAAAAGATAGTAGAAACAATAAATTTATACTAGTTCACTCTAAACTCAAGGCTACATCTAGACCTCACTATACTAGTGAGATTTTTCACTAACATCAAACCTTAGTTATTACACTTGGTTACACAACAACCACACCAATTTGTTCCACAATATTGAGTACACTACTCATTCCAAAACACTCAAATACAAATGCACCCACAATGCACACATACATTCACCAAATCCTTAGCCAACTGTTTCTCAAGTCTTGGATAAGATAACTCGAATAGAAAAATAGTTTTATTTATGATGATTACAGATGAAAATAACCCTCTCTATTCCAAAGGTTTTCACTTAGGAAATAAAATCTCATTTCTATGTGTTTATGCAAGGAACACTTAAATTATTTAGTATAGAAGTGGATCTCTCTCTCTCTTTCTCTCTCTCTCTCTCTCTCTCTCTCTCTCTCTCTCTTTTACAATGATAGATGAAAAAGAAAATGGATTTTCTTAATAGAGGATTCCTAGCACAAGCTACACTATTTTATTTATCATTAGTGAGTCATTATGTTCCTCAAGGCTTCCTTTAAATAGGCTAAAAGGTATATGCTGGAGACAAAGACTTTTAGAAGTAAATAAATAGTTACTTTTAAAATGTACATGTCAATTGGATTTTCTTTGACATCTTGAAATTCATTAAAGGGCCATTTTGATGTGTCATTCTAATGTCTTATTATGATACTCATTTTCAATATTTTATTATAATGTGCTAATATGATGGTCCATTCAGATCTTCCATTCTTTCATACGTGGTCATCATTCAATTGACTTCATTTTTTTTATCTTGATGAGGACTTTATACAACAAAAGATAGTTTGGTAATTGAGATTGTTGTAGGTTTGGTCAATGATATATCCTTGTATTAAATTCTTTCTCACACATGTTCATTTTTTCATTAAATTCTTTCTCCCACATGTTCATTAGTAGTTAAATTAAAGCTTCCATTGTTATGTGGATAATATGGAAGGACAAGAATACACAAGTTTTTAGCCAAAAAGAGCAACTCCATTTAGGTAATAATTGAACAGATAAAAAAACTCTCATATGTGTAGTGCAACATGTTTTCCTATTGAATGACATTTGTC